CATTTTTTTTGGGTAGATTGAATGCAAGTGGATCGCCTTATTTTATTTATATTTAAGACTAAAATCTATAAGGTGCTGGTCTAATAGTCTATATGAATGAATTATGATTGTTTTCTTTTTTCTTTTTGCTTTTTGATCAGGGATAAACTCATGGCAACTGCTACTATGGCAACAGCAGCTGGTGCAGCTGCTGCTCTCTTGTATTATACGTTGAATCGGAAGTTACGGATGAGGACACCCCATGACGATGAAAATAGTGATGATGCAGCGACTCATGCCCACTTGGGAATCGACCGTGTTTCACATAGGCTAATACAGGCTCCAGGGACTTGGTTGGAAACAATTTCAACTTTATCGGAGACTCTTCGGTTTACTTACTCTGAAACTCTAGGGAAGTGGCCTATTGGAGATTTGGCTTTTGGGATCAATTTTCTGCTGAAGAGGCAGGTAGGTTTCTTTCATGTTTCTTGCAGCTTTTCCACGTCACTAACATGCATATATTTTGTACCGAGCTTGAACTTAGAGAATCCAATAGGAACTGTTCTGAATATGGTGTCTTTGTACCAATATCTTTGCTTGTATTGTAATTTGCTCAATCTTTGGAATAATCACATAGCCATAAAAGGGGAGGCAAAAGAAGTAGGATGCTAGGTGTGGCATACCACTCCTTCTTGAAGTTTAACTCTGACTCAGTTAGTTCTATTTAACTGGCATTTTTAATAGAAATTTACAGGCAGTGGTTTAGTCTTGGTCGATGGGAACCTTGTCAGAAGTTGACTAATTGATATTTTTTTATGAAAAATAACCAATGACTATCATAGTTCTGAATACGATTTCTGAATACAATTTTATGTTCACACAGAATCAAGTTGGGGAGTTGATCCTCATCAAAATGTCTGGCCTTGGATGTTGTTGAAGGCTGAAATACCTTATATTCTGAAAGGCTTCTGTTCTTCGCTCCACCTTGTAGAACCTCTAATTGTTGTGCCAGGTTTACACCTATGCACATTACATAACATTTTGAATCACACAAAAAGCTCTGACAGTACGTGATGAAGGATGTGATTAAATCTTCATTTTTTATGTTTAGTTGATCATTTAACACATTTTTTAAAAGGTTGTATACCTTTTTTATCAAATAGGATATTTCTTCAATCATTGTATTAGTTTATGTCATGCTTGCTGCAGCCTTGGATACCAAAAGAACTTGGAATAATTTTGCTCTCCATGCTTATCTCTCTCTTAAAAAAATTCTGACGTATAGGTAAAATAATTTCCAGGGAAACTTACATGTTGGCAGTGTATTCGGTGGGGATGATAGTCCACAGATGAAAGGAGTGGAGATTATTGCTGAACTTAAATATTTGTTGAACTTGTTGACACTATGTTGGCATTTTTCCAAAAAACCTTTTCCTTTATTTCTGGAGGAGACTGGTTATGCAGAAGCAGATGTTCTTCTGCAGGAACCCAAAGCGGGAGTGAGTAATCTCAAACTTGAATATTTTGCCCTGTCATTTAATTTGTTGATTCTTTTTCCAGAAGGTCATAATGGTGTGAATATATGCTAGGAAGTTTGTTTTAGTCTGCTCTATTCTTGAATGAGATGCAACTGGCTAAATGACTGTTAGGAATTTTTTACTGGCACAGGATACCGCCACCCACTTGTAAATCTAGGGATTGATTGATGTGATCCCATAAGGACGGATCATCGAACAACCTTATTGCAATTCAAAGGATTAATTAATTGCATAAACATGAAACTTGGAACTAATTTAAATATGAACTTTTTGCAGATATTGAAGCCAGCTTTTACAATTTTAGTTGATCACAAAACTAAATGTTTTCTCTTGCTGATTCGTGGAACACATAGCATCAAGGACACTTTGACAGCTGCAACTGGGGCAGTAGTACCATTCCATCACACTGTTGTGCATGAGGGAGGAGTCAGCAATTTAGTTTTAGGTTATGCGCACTGTGGTATGGTTGCAGCTGCCCGGTGGATAGCTAAGCTTGCTACTCCTTGCCTTATTAAGGCACTTGACCAGTATCCTGGTTATAAAGTTAAGGTAGGTAATGGTTTATTTGGAATTTGTTAATTGCTTGCCGTTGTTAGTTTAAATTATGAAGTAGGCAACTTAACTAATATCTAAACCAAACTCGTTGGAGTCAGCTACATGAATCTTATTCTTCCATTCAGTTAATTTAAATTAATGTTCAGTGAACTGCTGTGGTATTTATTTTTTGCTTAAGCAATTGCTGCATATTGTAGTCTCTTGTTTTCTGCTCTCACTTCGTTTTATCATAGAACACACTTGGCTTTTTGTGGAAAGATAGAGCATCACCAGGCATACGCTATATACTCAAACCCAATTTATCCTCTATCCATGCTAGCTCCCCTTATGGGAATGGATTCACAAAAGAACTGCTGATTATGTTTCGAGCCATCTAATTTGTGATGTTCTTAAAACTGCTGCATTATACATTTGCTTGAAACTGTAAGTATTGAGGTTCCAGTATGTACCATCTCTTGTTTCATTGGCACATTTAATGCTCAGTTGTTAGGCTGGTTTATTCCCTTGCCTTTTTTCAGATTCTAGCAAGATTATAAATATAAGAATAAAACATCTACCTTCCACACATAAGAATAAATTTTGCACCTTCCATGTCATGTTTGTTTATGATAACTTTATTATGACCTTATTGGCTTTAACATTCTAGTTTCATACTATCTATCTGTACTTTCTGGGCTACAACTTCCAGGACTTGATTTAGTCATCACTGCATTAGTTATTCTCTTAAGTTTTTACTATAAAATAAATCAGAAATAGTTCTTACGTGAGTGAAAATATAACCATCAGCTATTTAGCTTAGGGCTTTTGGAGATGGCAAATACTTAAGCATTCAAATATAACCATCAACAGATTATAAATTCTGAAATTATAGTCTCTAAAATGAGTAAGAGTTATTATTGTTTTATTTTAACAGATTGTTGGACACTCCTTGGGTGGTGGCACTGCAGCACTTTTGACATATGTGTTGCGGGAGCGGAAGGAATTGTCTACAGCTACCTGTGTTACATTTGCACCTGGTAAGTATTCCCTGTCCACCATTTCTATGAACACCTATCTCATCTAAGTTCCTATTCCCTAATCATGAGCGTGTTTGTGTGCATGTATACATATAATGTTCATTCAACTGATTCCATCTACTGTTTGCAGGTGCTTGTATGACTTGGGAATTGGCTGAATCAGGGAGTGATTTCATTATTTCTGTAATCAATGGAGCTGACTTAGTGCCTACATTCTCAGCTGCTTCAGTGGATGATTTGCGTGCTGAGGTTATGCTCTTGACTCTGTTATTTCCAACTTTATTTTTTTACGAGTTATATTATGAATTGATACACTATGTTTCCTTCAAAGGTTAAGTCTCGTACTTGTGAGTAAACAGCTGTAATTCTTGTATTTCAGTGGTATCAATAGTATTTCTTGTATGTATTTGTTAATATTAGTTTTTAGGATGTAGACCTGGATGACGGCTAGATTCTCTAATTGTCCTCGGAATAAGTTTTTACTGTACTGAAGTTTATACTTCCTCTTTTCCTTCGTGACACCCCATAAGAATTTATATTGGATTGGTTCTAATCTCTTAGCCACGCTCACGAGGATCGTCATTAAAGACATGTAGTAAATGGGACTGTCAGCCATAGTATTTTGGAAAGAGTAAGCCTCCCCCTTTTAGAGAGAATGTTTCTTTTCACCCATCTAGTCTCTGTGCAAGCCTTGCCACCACAGAGTCCCACACTGAGACATATTTATATTTGGCCCCCAGCAGAAGTCCCAAATATTTAGTCGGCAATGGTACACACTTGGAATGCAAAATGGTAGCTAACCTGCTAGCATCCATCTCATCACCTAATCTCACCAGCTCAGGTTTGGCAATATTGATGTTGAGGCCTGATACAGCTTGGAAGCACAAAAACATACATCTAAGGTTGAGTAGGTCCTTCTCATCCTATTCATAAAGGATCCTTACAGATGCATACTCGATTTTCTCTTTTCTAGGTTTTGGGAACAAATTGTTTCCTAACATTCTGATATCTTTTTCGTAACAAACTTTGATAAGAAAGAGGAAAGAAAGTATTTTTTATGGAGAATAGCTCAATTAGTCGAATGGAGAAGAAATAGAGAATAGATTGAAATAATCAGGAAAAAACTGGTTTATCCAGTTAAGAAGTGTATCTTAGTAATATGTTCTTTTTTCTCTTCATGGTAGATGGTTAGGAATGGCAAGTGTGCTGGGGAGACCGAAGTTAAGGAAAGTTAGTTATCGCTACAACCTACCGCCCTAATATCATACTAAGGGTATGTTTGAGAATAGATGGAATTTTATGTGGAACTGGAACAACATATTTTAAATTCCCATAAAATTGATTGAATTTGGAATATATTGTTCAATTTTATAGAGAATTCCATAGGAATTCAATTTTTTTTTAATCTTTTTAAGTAGCACTTCTATTTCCTTTTAGTTAAAGTGTAGATTTACAAATGAATATCCATACAAATTTTTGATCTCTTTATAGCCTAAAAGAACATATCAAATTGTTTCCGTTATTATATTGAAAAAATTGTACTTGTTTTTACAGAGGGACTTATGAATACGGCTAACAAAAACAAAAACAGAATCTAATTAAACAGGGCATCAACTGTGATGGAACCTACTTATTAGGGCATTAACTATAAAGGGAAAGACCCTATTGTTATCTGATAGACTATACAGGTTATGTCTCTGTTATCTAACCATCAGAATTTTTTCAACATTTTCATTAGCTTGGACCAGTATATCTGCTTTTGTATAAATAGTGTAGCACTTGCTTGTTCTCGCCTCTAGGCACTTGACAAATGGAATGTCGCCATGAGCATTTCTATAAAAATGTTATCTTACCCACTTCCTCAGGTCACAGCATCTGCTTGGTTAAATGATCTGAGGAATCAGATTGAACGGACAAGAATTCTTAGCACTGTTTATCGTTCTGCTACAGCATTGGGTTCTCGACTTCCATCTATTGCCAGTGCTAGAGCAAAAGTTGCTGGGGCTGGGGCACTTTTGCGCCCCGTTTCTAATGGTACACAGGTAATCTCATTTCTGGAAATCAAATTTGTTTACTTTGAATTCCCCACTGCTTTTCTCATATTTTGTCCATTTTGGTTGATCTTTGTGATCATTCATATGTTTTGCTCAGAAGTTTGAGTAGGTTACAATATGGTGGCTACATTTAATTTTTTGCTGATGTATATAGGTTGTGATGAAGAGAGCACAGAGCATGGCGCAGTCTGCATGGGCACGTCCTGCCCTACGCTTGTCCTCTTGGTCATGCATGGGGCCTCGTCGTCGAGCAACTACTGCTTATTCAAATGCAGAAAGGAGGGAAAATTCCCCAGAATCTTTGTCAAACAGAACAGAGTCTTCTGAACCTCTAGTGATGTCTGCCAATGAAACTGCAATAGCTGCTGTGTGTCAAACTGTTGAACTTCCTTTATCTGTATCTGATGCAAGAGAGTGGGATTCAGAAATTGGATGTTCTTGTTCTGATGAAATACATCTGCATCCTGATGGAGTTTCTGATCTTGATGGCAATGAGGACCTCATGGACGATAATAATACATGCGGAGACCACATGACTGAAGTCGAGTTGTGGCAACAACTTGAGCATGATCTTCGCAGTACAACAGAAGGTGAAGAGGCTGATGTAGCAAGAGAAATAAGGGAAGAAGAAGAAGCTGCCATTGCAGAGGTTGGTGGGAACCACGCACAGAGTGATACGCCAGAAATGAAGGAAGTGCACAGATTTTTTCCTCCAGGAAAGATCATGCACATTGTTACCATTCATTGTGATAACAGAATCTCTGAAAGCGATACCCCCAGCTCAAGTGAATTGGATCACAGCCAGTCACTGGAAGATAGTAAGGTTGGGATTTTTCTTACACCACGATCGTTATACAGTAAATTGAGGCTGTCACAGACCATGATTAGTGATCATTTCATGCCAGTTTACAGAAGACAGATTGAAAGACTAATAAAGGAGCTTGAGGAAGAACAAGCTTCTGATGACAGGGGCCATAAATATACTGAAGATGTAGTTTTATAGAGAACTTTATTATTCCCCACTGGTTGATCATATTGAATTTGGGTTTTGGGTTTTTTCATTTTAATTGATTTAGAGTCCAAGCGTTCCATAAGATTTTCTGGGCTTCCTTATTTGGCGATGGAAATGCCCCTAGAAAGCAAATTGAAAATAAGCTAACCTACAGGGAAGATTTTTGGATACATGACATGATTATATTTGTAAGTTGTAATATTCGGATTCGAAATTTGGTTCGAAATTAATTTTAAAATTAAAAGGATATATAAAAATATAATTTTTAAATTTTTATTTAATCTAAAATTAGAGAAAAAAAGATGAAATTGAAAATAATTTAAAAAAAAATATGTAAAAATTTAAATTTAAGGATATTTTTAAAAGAAAAATTAAAAAATTGAGAGTTAAAATGTAATTAAAAAAAATTGTGTCACGTAAGACCGTTTAGTCAGTAGTTCCGATGAATTGGAGTATACCGCGTAACAAGGCACGCTAACTCGGTACCACACGGGAGGCCACGCTGGCAATTAGTGTACCTGCAATCGGACAATCTGGATGCGTTCTCGCGAGCGTGGACGGTCCGGATCCGTTCCTTCACGTGCGATCGAACGGTCGCGATTAAACGTGATGCACGGTCCAGATTTGTTTTCACTTTAAACGCAATTATATAGTCGAGATGAAATCGTGATGAATGATTTATATTTATTTTCTCTTTAAACGCGATCAGACGGTCGAGATCAAATACGATGAACGACTAAAATTTAAGGGAGATAGGTATAAATATCTCACATCACATCGAATCCAAACCTTAGCCGTCAGCCCCCCGCCGGAGAAGGAAGCCAACTGCCGCATGCTGCGTCAGAGCCACCTCTGACCGCCAAAAAAAGTAAAAATTCTCTTTTTCGTTCGGAATTTGATTTCAAACACCTCCATGACCAAATTGGAGCAAAAAGAATAGCGGATGAGCCAGAAACTGCGGGTAAAGCCCAGTGCCGCTGTTGCGGGCAAAACCAAAAATTGCCTCCGATGAGCCCCTTCATGTTTCCCGTTTCGTACTATTTTTCTACTATTGTGTTCACCATTCTGTTTTCTACAGGTTGACCGAAGAAAAATATCCAGCCGCGAAGGTGAGCCGGCGGAACTACCGCACCGAAAAATCTTGCCGCCTGTAAGTTTTTGTTTTTCAATTTTTTTCGGCCAACCGAGGCTCCCTAACATGTTTTTTCGTAAGGACAAGTATAAAACCGGCCGAAACTAGCAAAAATTGGCCGAAAATGGCTAGTCCAAGGTAAACCACCACCGTGTCGGAATTTCAAAATTGGTCGGAAAAGGTTTTAACACTGATTTTAGGTTTTTTGGATATTTTTAGGTACGTGAAGCGTGTTTTAACATTTGCAGGAAAATTCAAAAAATTCGGGGACTGCCAATAGGCATAGCTAATACCAATTTGGGTAAGAATCACTCACCTTATTCCCTGTTATGGAATTGAAGTTTAATTATAAATAATACGGTATGTTGCATAATTTAGAAAATTTCGAGAATTAATTACAGGTTACTAATGGAGGCAAAATCGATTATTTATTATTGTTTGTCATGTTTAACCAATTATTTGATTTTATAGTTTTAAATGCATGATAATATACTAGAATTGGTAAAACGCCTCACTCGTCTTTCCTTAATTGACGCCCGTTACTCATCTAAGGTTAAACACCAAACCAAATTGATTCCAGTAGAATAGAAAACAAAACTCCTGATTCTTAATACATTCTATGACATTTCAATCTAACAATAGTCACCCCCCACCCTTTCCATTTAGTTGGATTAAAAAAAA